GCCTGGGTGGCTCAGTCAGTTAAGTGGCCGACTTCGGCTCAGGTCATGATCTCGCGGTCTGTGAGTTCGAGCCCCGCGTCGGGCTCTGTGCTGATAGCTCGGAGCTCGGAGCCTGCTTCTGTTTCTGTCTCCCTCTCTCTCTGTCCCTCCCCCATTCATGCTCTGTCTCTCCCTGCCTTTCAAAAATGAGTAAATGTTAAAAAAAATAAAAAAAAAAGGAATAGTAATAAAGTTGCCACAAATTAAATTTGCTAATGATTTTAGCTGTACACGTTTTTTTGGAATGTATTTATAAATGTATTTACTGTGATATTCAGTAATATATGTTACATAAATTAGAAATGTGTGAGTTATAAAATGTGTGTGTTATATAAATCAGAAATTGGCTTTTAAATCAATTTCAAATAGACAAAGTTTCTTTCTTCTTTTATTTAATGGAAAAATTGGGTTGTCTAATAACGATGAAGAGGTTAATCAGTGACCGTTTCTGCTTTAGGTATAAGTTTAGAGGGAGAGATTCACCGAAATAAGAAATAGAACCAAGGCAATGGCACCCATGAAGCCAGTGATTTCATCCATGGTGATCAGTACTTGATCTGGCTTGAGTTTGTGCGAGATGTTGGAATGTATTTTGTAGCATTAAAATATCCTATTTTTGTATCTGATTTATAGCCACACAGGACTTTGAAGCTCATTTCTTAGCAACATCACAGAATCAAAGGTCTAGATGGTCTATTTTTTTTATAAGAACATAATATAGTATTGCTTGATCGTGAACTTTTAAAATTAAAAAACAGGGGCGCCTGGGTGGTGCAGTCGGTTAAGCGTCCGACTTCAGCCAGGTCACGATCTCGCGGTCCGTGAGTTCGAGCCCCGCGTCGGGCTCTGGGCTGATGGCTCGGAGCCTGGAGCCTGTTTCCGATTCTGTGTCTCCCTCTCTCTCTGCCCCTCCCCCGTTCATGCTCTGTCTCTCTCTGTCCCAAAAATAAATACACGTTTGAAAAAAAAATTTAAAAAAAAAAAATTAAAAAAAAATAAAATTAAAAAACAAAATGCAAACGGATTTGGAATTTTGACTCAAATTGCTGGAGCCTTCAAAAGCAAAAGTACATATTCATCTGTGAAAGTTCTTCTTTTACAAGTCTTTCTTACAGTCAAATATTCGTTTAATAATGCAACACCTTATTTTACAGTGTAGTGCCACTAAAGGGAGAGTATTTTATAGCTGTGAAGTTTTTCCTTTTTCTTTTTCTAAGCACAGTGCTTGATGGGAGAGTTGTCTGAAGCAGGATGATCAGAAGCAGGGACTGACCACCTCTTCGCTCATTTCAGTCCTGTTAAACATCTGACAGCCCATAAGTGAGATGTGCCAGTTGATTAATGAGCCAGAGTACTGATTCTATGTTTTCAGACTGCTAGCACAGGAGATGAAGCATTGTAGATACAGGTGTTTCCATAGCCTTCCTTTTCAAACAGGTACATAATGAAAGTAAGCACGGAGTTCACGAGGTTAGGGTGCCATGTTGAGATTCAGGACTTCCCATTTGGTATAAAAAGCAGTGTGGTGCTGTTACGTACCGGGATTGTGTGTGCTGGGCTTAGAGTCAGCTGCTCTAAGTTCTAGCTGTGGCACGTCTACTCTCCAACAGTGGATCCAATGAGGAGGCTTCTTTTAAAGAATCTTGAAAACTGTAATAATTTCAACAGGAGGAGATTGATATAGAACATCAAGATAACTGAAATACCATGCATTCTCATTCATGTCAAAGCTGATCATAATACATCCGGGGTGCCCGAGTGGCTCAGTTGGTTAAGCGTCCAACTCAGGTCATGATCTCACGTTTTGTGAGTTTGAACCCTGCGTTGGGCTCCACGCTGACAGTGTGGGGCCTGCTTGGGATTCTCTCCCTCCCTCCCTCTCTCTCTGCCACTTCCTCGCTTGTGCTCTGTCTCTCTCAGAAAGAATGAACAAAAGAAATAAATTAAAAAAGATGATCATAATACATTCATGCAAAAATCAGTACACAAAATAGTAACTACAATGTAATTTTTCTTGTAAAATATACCCCCCACCAGAAACACAAACACCGTGTGTGTGTGTGTGTGTGTGTGTGTGTGTGTGTGTGTAGTCTGAAAATCATAATTTTTTGGTCTAGGAAATACAGAATAACTTAAATATTATACATTCAAATAGCTGAAGATAGCTTGCTGAGATGTAAAGTTGGAACTCTTATGTTTGGCAATTCCTGTGGGTTTCATTTATTTTTACTCTCTATCCTTTGTGTTTATTGGTAGTATTGAGTGTTTATTTTTGGAACTATTGTATCTTTTTCTCTGGGAAGCAATGAATGGCCACAGGTGGTTTTCATTTTTTTTTAGCATGAGGCATGTGCACTGACAGCCTTTGAAACTCTCATGCTGTATAATGTGCAGGTGCTTTTATGGTTTATAGAAATTCCTAATCCTTGTTTGAAATTTATTAAATGGTGTGCCATCTGTAAGCCTCCCTAAATTCCGCAGATTAATTAGCCTTTAAAGTAAGGTTGCCTTTTATCTAACGTTAGTATAAACTCTTCCATCTGGGAACCTTCTCTTTCATGCGCTTGTTCAGTGTTCTGTATACTTTAGCACTCTGGAATTAAGTATTAATTATGGACCCTGGCCTTCTCAGTAACCATGAAGAACACTAAGAATAACAGTAGACTGAACAAAGTGGCATTGTCCAGAGACTGCTTTGACGTGGTGAAGAATCATCCATCATGGCTTGGCCGCTGCTGCGTGTGTGTTTGTGCGTGTGCGATGGTTACTCCTTAGGGAAGGTTTGCCGATGATGGTTACATAAGTTAGCATTCCTACGAAGCTTCAGTAAAGGAAGGAAAAAAGAGAAAAACACCCTCTTTTGACATTTCCTGTAGTTTTTTTTTTTTTTTCTCTTGTAGCTTCTGATTGAAAGTTTGTTGACAGTATTTGGTGCAGAGAGATTGGCTTTGGCTCTTTCGAGGAAGTGTTGTGTGGGGTTGGAATTGTGTTATTATTTTAAAAGAAATCAATATTATTTAATTCTGTTTACTGGTCTCACTGAGCCGTTGAATGCCACAGAGTGGAACGTTTGTTTTTTAAAGTCAGTTACAAAACCTATAAAGTCAGTAGTTCAGTCATCTGTGTACTTTAAAAATAATCAGTTTAATATTATTTGGTGCTTTTTATGGACTTAATTTTGCTGCCTCACCCTCTGCCTCAAATAAATTAGACTAATGCTGTTAGTTCATTATGGACAAATAGGTTCCATAAGTTCTCACTTAGAAAATGTGACGCAAATAATTTTTCTCAGTAAGTTGTGATTATGGAAGATATTGTGGGTAGTAAGCAAACATGTAGAATTACATAGTTTTGGCTTCTAATGTAAAAAATTGAGGTTGAGAGAGAGTTAACACTCCTGAAACAGTGGAGAACATTAAAGTGTTCAGGTATATTTTCCAAATTATAAGGGCGTAAGACATTCAGGAAAGATGGTTTAGCATAAGCACAGTGTGGAGGACCCTGAGATTTAGGTTAGTGGGGGAGACCGCATTACAAACTGGCATAGATGGTATGACTAAAGGAATGAATTGGGTGTGTGTGGAGATTGGGGGGTAGCCTCAAATGATCAGAATTTGGGTGTGGATTGAATGGTTGTTGGGTTAGGGCAGAAGGTTTCGTTATTTAGGGGGGTGGTCACATCATGGAAGGCCTTGAAAACAGGTGGCCAACTATGATGCAGGAATAGCTTGTTTTTGCAATAGAATAGCAAGGTTTTTTGTTGTTGTTGTTTTGCAGGGTGACTAATCTTGCAGATGGTAGACAGGAAGAGATTGGAGACCATTGAAAATATGTAGGAGACTATTGCAGTAGCCTGTAGGGATGTGGTCATGAGGGCCTGCTTTAGGAGGGTGACAGCAGCAATAGAGAGAACAGAGTAAGTGAGACAACACTGTCCCGGGAAGAAACTTGGTCATTAGCATAGCCTCAGTGCATATTTAGTGAGTGAATCGGATTGAGAGAGGGGATAAATATGGGGAATGAAGGAAAAATAAGTTGATGGTCACTTCCTCCTAGATATCTTGAGAGGCATTTATGACTGAGAGAAGATGGATAGATAAATCCAGATAGAGGGAGATGATGAGTTCAGTTTGTGGGAACTGAATTTGAAGTGATGGTAACTTTGCAAGTAGAAGTGGCCTTATAAGCAGTTGGATACGGGGTTCTGGAAAACAGTCAGTTCAGAGCCTGAGTCTAAAGGTGTGTGGATATGTACATATATGTATATGTCAGGACACCTTCTGAGTTTCTTTTTTTTTCTTTTTCTTTTTTTTCCCTGAGTTTCTAAAGGGAAAATTGGAAGATCAATAAATAAGCCTTAGAAAAACATCAGAAGAAACCATTTCACATTTAGGTTTTAGAAGGCCTTAACCATTTGATTTCATTTTGCTTTGTTTAATATTTTTTAAAACCTGTTTTAAAACAAACATAACCTATGTTTCCAACAGATATGTTTTAAAGCAAACATAACAGTCGTTTGCTTTTTTTTTTTAGTCGCTTGTTTTGTTTGTTTTTTGCTATGAACAAAAAATAATTGTTAAATAAAAATCAGTCTATTCTGATCTGGTTCTAAAATTGGCATGTTTTGATTCATTGTAACTTTTTCTAGATTGCTGTACTAAGGAGACAGCAACGTATGATAAAAAATCGAGAGTCCGCGTGTCAGTCCCGCAAGAAGAAGAAAGAATATATGCTTGGCTTGGAGGCCAGGTTAAAGGCCGCGCTCTCGGAGAATGAGAAGCTCAAGAAGGAGAACGGGTCACTGAAAAGGCAGCTGGACGAAGTGGTGTCCGAGGTGAGGGCCAGCGACGCAGCCCCGACAAGATGGGTTCAGGCATTCTTTTTTCCTGAGAAACCATTGGGAATGGTGTGTGTTTTAAATTGTGTAAACTGGGGCGCCTGGGTGGCGCAGTCGGTTAAGCGTCCGACTTCACCCAGGTCACGGTCTTGCGGTCCGTGAGTTCGAGCCTCGCGTCAGGCTCTGGGCTGATGGCTCGGAGCCTGGAGCCTGTTTCCGATTCTGTGTCTCCCTCTCTCTCTGCCCCTCCCCCGTTCATGCTCTGTCTCTCTCTGTCCCCAAAATAAATAAAAAACGTTGGAAAAAAAAAATAATAATAAATTGTGTAAACTAAGAGTACTAGGAAAAAGAGGGCGCGTTAAGCCCTAAAGCATTTGCAGTCGGAATGAAGCATTGGGAAAAGGAGCTCGCGAATTGTACCTCCCAACCTGCGTTCAAAAGCTGTGTTTCCGGGGTACCCCTCTCTTTCTGACTAAGTGAATCACCGTGAGGACCTTCAGTAGTCCTGCCAGGTCTTTCCTTTTAAAAAAGAAAATACAGGGGTGCCTGGGTGGCTCAGTCGATTAAGTGTCCGACTTCGGCTCAGGTCATGATCTCCCAGTTTGTGGGTTCAAGCCCCGCATCGGGTTCTGCGCTGACAGCTCGGAGCCTGCAGCCTGCTTTGGTTTCTGTGCCTCCCTCTCTTCTCTGCCCTTCTCCTCCTCATGTTCTGTCTCTCTCTGTTTCTCAAAAATATATAAACGGTTAAAAACAAATTTTAGAAAGAAAATACAAAATAAAATTTTAAATCGTTTCTCTGTCCACCTGACCCCCATTATGTTTTTTGCATGTTGTTGCCATGCTGGTCCCAATAAAGTCGACCTTCTCCTTGATTCTGTTCCTGAAACCTGCAGTTTCAGGATTTGCCACTGCAATGCTGTCTGGAACTGAATGGATGCCTGTGCCCAATGAGTGGGCTTCTTCCATTGGGGTTCTCTGTTTTGCCCTGAGCGCCCGGGATATTTAAGAGACGGGGGGGGACTACAGATGTATCTGAAAATTCTTTGAAGACCCATAGAAGTGTTAAGTGGTTGAATTGTTGAATTCTTTCCTTTTGGGGGGAAGAGGAAAGTGCAACAGTGGCCACTATGTTTCTTTTCTCCTGCTCCTTTGTTTTTCTCTGCTACAATTAGGGAACTAAGAAGGCTGCGCTCTAGCCTTGTGAAAAGTACCATTTCCTCACCTTTGAAGTTTATTATTATTATTATTTTTTAACTGATAACTGCTGAAGAGGAGTGTGCTTATCTTACCCGTTGCTTTTTGCGAGATTAGTGTGTAGTTTAACCGTATTTGACATGGTTATTTCTTTCAGAACCAGAGGCTTAAAGTTCCTAATCCGAAACGAAGAGCTATCTGTGTGATGGTGGTGTTGGCGTTTATAGTGCTCAACTATGGACCCATGAAGTGAGTGTGTTTTGTCTGCAAACACTGTTTATTTATTTTGGATACAAACACTAAAAATTTTAGTTCTCATTGTTTTCACCTCTAGTCATAAGCTAGGAAAAACAGATTTGTTTTGTTTTCCTCGGAGACAATATTTAGGTAAGAAGAAAGGAGAAGAAAGACTCGTTCCTCTTCCTTGTTCTTCCCCTAAGTCTAGTGGAAAAATCATGTCGTTTAATGGAGAAAGCCTTAAGTTATTAAACAGATTGGTGGTGAGGCAGAGTTTGAGCCCCGCATCGGGCTCTGTGCTGACGGCTTGGAGCCTGGAGCCTGCTTTGGATTTTGTGTCTCCCTCTCTCTGCCCCTCCCCCACTCATGCTCTGTCTCTCACTTTCAAAAAAAAAAAAAAAAAAAAAAAAAAAAAAGAAGATTAAAAGATTAAAAAAGAATTAAAAAGAATACGGAACCATTACATATAAACATAAATAACATTTTTATGGAAAATAACTATTTTCCAGACCCTCAAAAATTGAGTGAGAGGAGTAGCATTATTTTATTTATATTTGCCAAAAATCTTGATAGAAGCCAGCTCTATTCTCCTGTTTCTTCCTATAATCCGTTTTGATAAGTTGTTTTGGTTGAGATAAATGGAGAGAATCTAGATTCCCATAGGTATGTAGTTGAAAAGGGGAGAACCTTACTGACCCTTTGAAAGAATCTTGGGATCCTCAGGGCTTCACAGAACTGCTGACTTAATTTCTTTAACTGTTCTCCTATTAATGGGCATGTAGGTTATTTTGAGTTATACAAATATATATACATATTAAATATATACCAGATATACATTTTAAACACATAAATGTTTATGTGCACATATAAAAGTATAGTTATGTAAAACACATAGATCTAAAACATATACATATAACATGTATTCATATATATGTAGAAAGAGTATATATTGTGGGTATATATTTATTAGAGTCTAAGTATTCTAATTCATACCTTAGAATTAGAAGGTATGAATATCTGGAATCGTGATGGAGTCTGCCAGATTGCCTCAAGTGCTGTGTGCTCATTTCGCATCTAGGCTATTGTGTAAGGTGCTTATTTATTCATTCAGTCACACATCCGGCAGATATTTATAGAGTACTTACAATTTGCCAGGTAGTGAGTAAGGAGCCAGGGATGCAAACATGAATACGAGTACAGACTAGTAAAAGAAGTGGATGTGGAAACAACTGTAGCATGAGTAAGACTTACGTAGATGTCATCTAAAGATGTGGGCCTACTCTTGAAGGGACACAGAAGTACCCAGTAACTCTGATAATGACAGTCTCGGAGGCTTTATGCAGTAGCATTTGATGAACAGTAAAGAGGACGGGGTTGGGGATAGGTGTTGTTTTGTAAGCCCTCATGAATTAATAGAGATTTGGGGGGG